TTACTTGAGCAAACAACTCCAGCGTCTTTGTCATGTCCACAGTTCTCCACTCCAGATCCTCCGTGTGAACACTCAGTTATGGAGTACTCAGTTCCTCTACAACCAACATTATCCAACCATGTTGGTTCACTTCCCTGACCAAAGTGGGCACTGTGAGGGGCGCTGACCGCTCTGCCACATACCATCTGTCTGCACACCACCTCTGCATCCTTCATGTCCCAGTTATTATCACATACTGTCCCCCACCGGCTGTTATTCTTGATCTCCAGTCTACCACAACAGCGACTTGTAGGATTTACCAGCCTGATCTCATTTTGGCCTGTTTTATTATATAAAAAAACAAGAATCTTTATTAGTTTTATAATGTTTATTACTGATCATGTTCATTATTGATTATTGGAAAACAAGGAGACTGATAACTGATATAGGGGGTCAGCATTCATTTGCCACTAATTTAAGGTTTTGAAGGAAAATTTACACATTTGCCAAAAATGAGCTTTAAGTGAATGCAACATTTAATGAAATGCTAACACTAAATATTTTAACACATTTGTCCAATTGGCCTGACCGCATGTCTTAGGACTGTGGGAGGAAACATACAAACTCCACACAGGAAGGACTCTGGTTGCCTAGCACTACCCACTGCTCCACCATGCTGCCCGCATATATTTAAAAAAAAAATTCTCAGTGTACCATTTTTAAATAAATATAGTGTTAAAATACTTTATTGAATTTACATACATACACATCATTGAATTTAATTTTTATTTACATTTATACAGCGTTTTTGGAAATGAGTCTGTAGTACAGTCCTGTGTGCACTCTCCACGCTTTTTGGATTGGCTGTCTCCTAAAAAGTGACCCGACTAGTTCAAAATGAACTATTTTCTGGTCTTATCGACTGTTTATTTACTTCAGCATCTTGGTGGGCGAGGTTCTGTCACAGTTTCCCCATTGTCCCCCTGAGTGTGCCTGTTTCTTCCCATGTGTTGTGGCCATGTGCTTTTTTGTTTTGTTTTCTTTTACTCTATTAGGATTCTCACCTGTTTGTAGTCCCTGTCTCCTCCCTCTCCCAGGTGTTCCCTATTGCCTAGGTCAAGCCCTTAGTTTCAGTTCATGGTTGTCTAGTCTACGTTACATTGTTATTTGTTGTGTCTGTCCAGTGTTGTGTTTGCCCAATGTGTTTCTTTATTTAAAATCTTGCAGTTTGTTATTTTGTACTCTGTGTTTCTACTAGTTTGTTTTGTTTATTAAAGTTTACTCCTGGTTACATCCAGCTTCATTACTCACCACACATGACAGGTTGAGAGAATTGGCCATTTTTAAACATCACATAATGATGACTCTCCGTTTAAAAGGCCTATAAGGGAAATGTGGCGCTGTTGGAAAAGCTTTTTCTGTTATTTATCGTACCACATAACAGGCCTAAGAGACAAGAAATAAATTCTTAAACTGAAATTCTAAAACTTGAACATATTCCTGAACATGAATTGCTTGCCTGTGGTTTAATATGCATAATCTAGCTCCTCATCTTATGGTGTGTTTATTTGTCACTATAAATAATCATCATGTCTCTTTTTTATATTATAATCACTAAAATATCCCAAAAGTAAAAAGGGAAAAAACAGATCATTTAGGAATTTGTCCTAATCTGGAGAGTTTAATGTAAAAGGTCTTCATTAGTGCTTGTGTTTCTGTTAACAGATTTAAGAGAACTAGTGTGTAAAGTACTGAAATGCGATTCCAGTGCACTTCTCTAGTGTTTTATTGATTAGAGCAATATCAGTATTACATGGTTATGAATTGAAAATGAGTTTTTTCTTACCTGAGCAGATAACACCAGCATCTTCACCATGATCACAGTTGTGTTTGTAAAATCCATTATGAGAGCAATTAAAGAGAGACCTTTCATTTCCAGAGCAGCCAACGCGATCTAGAAGTATTGGGTCACTTCCCTGACCAAAGTGTACACTCTGAGGGGCACTGACCGCTCTGCCACATCTCATCTCTCTGCACACGACCGCCGCATCATTCATGTCCCAGTTATTATCACACACTGTTCCCCACTGGCCGTTATAATAGACCTCCACTCTACCAGAACACGAGTCATTTCCATTAACAAGTCTTAAGTCTGTCACAAAGAACAAACTTTATCAAACATGGGCTTTTTGATTGACACAACAACTTACCTTTCAGATGTTTTTATATGGTGATGTTAGTTTAATTTTTAGGAACATTTCATACTGCTTAGCTTATGAACAAATTCAGTAATTTTTTTAAACGTCAACGAGAAAGATTTTGTTCCATTTTCCAGACTGTTCTTACTAAATATTCTTTGCTCTCCATAGAAATAGCTGCATTCAAGAAAAATAATGTTAAATAGGTTTAAGGAAGTTTAAGGTGCAAATGCACTGCTTTTATGTGTGTGAGTACCCAGTGTTTAATCAAGCGTTAATGATTGTAAGGTAGATAATGCAAACGTGTAGGCAAGATAGAGACTTAAGCCGGGTTTACACTACATGACTTTTACTGCAGTTTTAGCCCCGATTCTCAGTCTGGCTGGTCAGTGGGAGTTGACAGTTGGAGAGTGAATCGAGTCATGTGTGAGGGGCAAAGGGTCACATTTTTAGGCTCCTGATTGCGTTTCAGACCAGTCGGAGCTTATCAAACGTTTGATTTTTTTGACCCGACTCTGAGAAAAATCTAGTGTAAACTGGTCAGTGACTCAATCTGAACAGATTCCTGCAACAGCCATTGCAAACTGAGAGCAAGAAAGGAGAAAATACAGCAAGTAAACAAAGAAAAATGGTGAAAAGTTTCTTACATGTGGAGCAAAGTTTTTTTAATGAGCTGTGGTCAGGGAATGAGCACAATCGAGTTTATGTATTTTTAGAACTAAAAAAAAAATAATACTAACTGATCACATTTTTAAATCCATTATTTTTACTTAAACATGTTTACTTGCTTCTTTACTGTGTTGACGCAAACGGCAGAGAAAACAGCAGCAGCAGCTCCACGTTTGTTAATTTTAGTCTCAGAGTAACAGGAGAATGCAAGAGTTCGCACAAGTTCGGTGAGTTTCTCTTCAGTTCAGCAGCAGCTTAAAGGTTGAGGAGTGTGTGATCCCTGATCGTTTAGTGTGTGACCCCCATATATTTGTCACCCAAAAAATCTGCAAAAGCCAGTCAGACTTTAAAAGTCATGCAGTGAACCCAAGGCTTTAGATTTATTTGCAACAATCAGTCGAAATATTGCTCTTTCTAACATGCAAATATTGCGTTTTTGTGATTTTATCAGTAAAGGTCACAGACCCCTCATATGAGGTAAAGTTCTTAGAAAAGCCATTACAGGTCTGAAAGCTTTTGTGCCCTTCTGATTTTAGCATTATGTGCTTTGTATGTTTACTGACCAGTGCATGTTAATTGACTAGAGGGGTCAGTGTCAGCAGCAATATCCATATTACATGGTTATGAATTGAAGTTTTTCCTTACCTGAGCAGATAACACCAGCATCTTCACCATGATTACAGTTGTGTTTGCTAAATCCACCATGAGAGCAATTAGAGAGAGAGCTTTCATTTCCAGAACAACCAACATCATCCAGAAGTATTTCGTCACTTCCCTGACCAAAGTGGGCATTCGGAGGGATGCTAACCGCTCTGCCACATCTCATCTCTCTGCACACCACCACCGCGTCATTGATGTCCCAGTTATTGTCACACACTGTTCCCCACTGGCCGTTATAATAGACCTCCACTCTACCAGAACACGGGTCATTTCCATTAACGAGTCTTATATTTAAGCCGTCTGTCACAAATAAAGAATAATGAAGAGTTTATCAAACATGAGCTTTTTGAAGCGGATTACCACGTTTCTATAGGTGTTGAAGAAAGTCTTTAACATCAATTTGACATGCAACACATTTCTGCAGTAAATGTCTAAACTGAATTGGATTCTATATAATGCTCTAGTGGTACTTGAGAAGGTACAGTACATTCAGTAATAAGTCTTTCACAGTATGTAATTCATAGTGAACCTACTTATTTACTAGAAAGGAAACTTACCAGACAACATAGAAGGCCAAAAAGTGCTGGTTACTGAAACAAAGAGGTCATAGCAGGGAGACTTTAATTCAGTTGTCATAATTGTAAATGTTTGCATTAAACATTTTATATTCATCTTTTCAGTGCATTATTCAGAAACCTCAAATTCCAGATAAGATGAAGATCTGAAGTGTCAAAAAATGCAGAAACAGTTAGAAAAACAGAAATTAATTTTCTTTAAATAGGCAGGTTGAATTAAAGATGAAATGTTGAACATAAGGCAAAAAATATTCCCACCTAGACTGACAGTGAAAATAAAGGAATTATGGGTGAGCATGATTTTATTTAGCAATGAAAAAAGTCATGACGAAAGAAATTAAGTTAGGACATGTTCATGTCAGTTTAATTGGCTTGTGTGAATGTTTATGAATCTGTAATTTTGAGTCTGTTCATGCAGAAATTTTGAAACTGAAAGGTTTTTTTATTTCAGGCCCAGCTATTTTCTAGTGTCTTTGAAGCTACCTGTTGTACCGTTGTCGTGTGGATGTGACATCATCCAGCGTTCATGGGGTAGGAGCAGTATCATAGGTCAGAATTATTTTTATAAAAACGGTAAAAATTACATCAAGTTTCATATTTGCTTTATATTAATTTTTAAAAGTACAACTATGTAATTGAAGTTCTTTTATAGTCAAAATAATTTGCATATATTTTAAAGCAACCTATATGAATAGTTTTATTAGGTCCTTAAACTAAAGCAAAATACTGTTTAGGGCTGCAACAACAAATTGACATCGATAACACTGATAATAAAAAATCGTTGGCAGTAAATCACGTTATTAGTTGTTTTAAAGACATTTACACTTGTCATGTACATCACGTGACTCAACAAGGGAAATACAGGAATCTCAGACTGCAGTACAGTCAGAGTGTCATGCATGATCCAAAAAAAATAAAAAATTCTGAAAACACTTCATTTTAGTGGCATTGGGCTTCATTCGTTCTTGAGAAAGGTCCTAAGAAAAAGACTACGTCAGATTCATGACGTGTTCTTAATCCACAGAATTGTTCACACCTTTGTGCTCTTGAGTGTGTAGATTCTGTTCTTACTAAAGAACAAATCCCAAATAAGAAAACATCGGTGAATGTCAGAATCTTCGTAAAACTGCGCAAGTTGGTTTAACCTTTTCGACTCCTTGGAACCACCGGTGGTTCCAAAACGCACTTTGTCATATTTTTCATAACTTTCATATTTCATAAGCTACATTTAAAAGGTGGGGGTCGTATGAGAGCTGTAACTGTCTTCTTTCCAGTCAAATAGATGGGTGATGTCATTTTAAACCCTTATAATAAAAGAAGCTGAACTATTTGTGACAGACGGCTTAAATATAAGACTCGTTAATGGAAATGACCCGTGTTCTGGTAGAGTGGAGGTCTATTATAACGGCCAGTGGGGAACAGTGTGTGACAATAACTGGGACATCAATGACGCGGTGGTGGTGTGCAGAGAGATGAGATGTGGCAGAGCGGTTAGCATCCCTCCGAATGCCCACTTTGGTCAGGGAAGTGACGAAATACTTCTGGATGATGTTGGTTGTTCTGGAAATGAAAGCTCTCTCTCTAATTGCTCTCATGGTGGATTTAGCAAACACAACTGTAATCATGGTGAAGATGCTGGTGTTACACATTTCTGCAGTAAATGTCTAAACTGAATTGGATTCTATATAATGCTCTAGTGGTACTTGAGAAGGTACAGTACATTCAGTAATAAGTCTTTCACAGTATGTAATTCATAGTGAACCTACTTATTTACTAGAAAGGAAACTTACCAGACAACATAGAAGGCCAAAAAGTGCTGGTTACTGAAACAAAGAGGTCATAGCAGGGAGACTTTAATTCAGTTGTCATAATTGTAAATGTTTGCATTAAACATTTTATATTCATCTTTTCAGTGCATTATTCAGAAACCTCAAATTCCAGATAAGATGAAGATCTGAAGTGTCAAAAAATGCAGAAACAGTTAGAAAAACAGAAATTAATTTTCTTTAAATAGGCAGGTTGAATTAAAGATGAAATGTTGAACATAAGGCAAAAATATTCCCACCTAGACTGACAGTGAAAATAAAGGAATTATGGGTGAGCATGATTTTATTTAGCAATGAAAAAAGTCATGACGAAAGAAATTAAGTTAGGACATGTTCATGTCAGTTTAATTGGCTTGTGTGAATGTTTATGAATCTGTAATTTTGAGTCTGTTCATGCAGAAATTTTGAAACTGAAAGGTTTTTTTATTTCAGGCCCAGCTATTTTCTAGTGTCTTTGAAGCTACCTGTTGTACCGTTGTCGTGTGGATGTGACATCATCCAGCGTTCATGGGGTAGGAGCAGTATCATAGGTCAGAATTATTTTTATAAAAACGGTAAAAAATTACATCAAGTTTCATATTTGCTTTATATTAATTTTTAAAAGTACAACTATGTAATTGAAGTTCTTTTATAGTCAAAATAATTTGCATATATTTTAAAGCAACCTATATGAATAGTTTTATTAGGTCCTTAAACTAAAGCAAAATACTGTTTAGGGCTGCAACAACAAATTGACATCGATAACACTGATAATAAAAAATCGTTGGCAGTAAATCACGTTATTAGTTGTTTTAAAGACATTTACACTTGTCATGTACATCACGTGACTCAACAAGGGAAATACAGGAATCTCAGACTGCAGTACAGTCAGAGTGTCATGCATGATCCAAAAAAAATAAAAAATTCTGAAAACACTTCATTTTAATGGCATTGGGCTTCATTCGTTCTTGAGAAAGGTCCTAAGAAAAAGATTACGTCAGATTCATGACGTGTTCTTAATCCACAGAATTGTTCACACCTTTGTGCTCTTGAGTGTGTAGATTCTGTTCTTACTAAAGAACAAATCCCAAATAAGAAAACATCGGTGAATGTCAGAATCTTCGTAAAACTGCGCAAGTTGGTTTAACCTTTTCGACTCCTTGGAACCACCGGTGGTTCCAAAAC